ATACCCAATACACACTCTAGATAGTTGTGACTGATCACATAGATGCCTCAATAGAATTGAGATTCTGGTAACACAAAGGCTGACACAAAGGGGGGGCCTCCCCTCTGAGGCTCTGTGACATTTCGTGCTACATAATATGTTTTCAGCATACACACTTGAAATACACGCTGATATCACCAACATAATATAAGTCTTGTTTATTGCCGTTAAATTACTTTACCCGCTCAGAGCACAATTAGCCTATAGGCTAGGCCCAGGCCTACGCTATTGACTCATGTACTTACTCATGGAAGGTCGGTTTTTCTCTCGACTGTCCTGGTTCCTGTCTTTGCTTGCAACTGTGGCAAATTGGTGCAGTTCTGTTGACCACCACAATTTACTATAAAACTTTATTCAAATCACCACAATCAAAGCATTTTCTGTTGGAGAAGACTAGCCCGGATAAAGCTCACTTAAGTTAGTGTAAGTAGAAATTATGTTCGCCATACTAGCATTCTGTGCGTTCAAAATTTTTTGCCCTGTTCATGTGACCACTGGCTGCGCCCAGGCAAACGCATGTATTTTACGCTCTTCTCATCTAGTTTTTTATTCTTCTGAATCTGTGCATGCCCTGCACACTGTCCGTGCATGGGATTACTTCAAAGTGGATGTGTCCAAGTCTGTTTACTGTGACTTTTACCAGGTCCGTCAAAAGTAAGCCTGCTGTGAGTCCACTATTTTGCTATAATGATGAGGGTGACCTAGGCCATCTCTTCCAATTAAGCCTTGTGTGATCGAAATGAAAAAAAAGTGTCTGTTTCTGAAATTAATGCTTTTGGTAGTTAATCCAGGGGCAGTCGGGGTGCCAGCAGCCATACAGGACACGGCTTACTTTAAATATGACATGAACATCTTCAGCACCTTTCCATATGTTCCAGAGTTATGCACTACCATTAAAGACAACTTATGCATCCGACTTAACAAGACTTCCGTTAGGAACTCCTTGCTTGATAAAGACTAAAACCAACTTTGTCTAAGTTACATGAAGTCTTTGTCGTGGTTTCTGACCTATTTCATCTTTTTCCCTCTTATCGAGGTACATTCTTCAGATGTGAAAAGAGAATTCTCCTTTCTGTCCAGACCTGACTACAGTCATGCTAGGGGCTCTGGATGATAACGTCATCTCCATTTTTGAGTTAGTCAAGTGGCTTTCTTGCCTCTGCTTTCACACATCAGTGGAAAGGACAAAGGATCATGCAGTTGACCCGCAGACAATCCACATGGCAGGGGCTGACAACATAGTGGCGAACACACTCTCCTCAGGACAATAGAGCAACCTTACAATGACCTCTTTACTTCTCTGAACAATGCTCAACTCCCGGTATTCTGCATGAGAGTTTCTCTCCCTCTGTGCATGAGCCACAGATGCCCTACGGGTCTGATTTGATGGGCATGCTAGGGTATGCCTTTCTGCCCATCTTGTTAATTCCACTAGTCCTCTCCAAAATAGAGCAAGATCACTGTCGGATACTCCTGACTACTCCTTTCTGACTACACCAGCCCTTGTTCACCTGACTGTCAAGACTTCTGGTTCACCATCCATTTGTCCTATTGGCCAGACCAGATGTCCTCCGTTATCCAAGGTCTGGGATATTTTCACCCAGCTCCCAGCAATCTGCTTCCAATATTGGGTATTGTCCAACAATCTTTCTGTTCGACAGGACTTTCTGGCAAAGCTACAGCCATGGCCACATGGGACGTTGTCTGCCCACCTGTTTAATTTATGACAGCAGAATTTAGCATTTTGTTATGTGCTTCAATGATCAAACTTCGTTTTGTACTTCTTTTACTCGGAGCTGCAAGTATCTACAACTTGTGTCTACAGGTCAGCTCTAGCTGCCATACACGTTGGTTTCAAAGTCAGGTCAACTGCCTCTAACAGCATGGCACTCACTCACCTTTTGCATGGTATGTTCATCCAGTTGTCCCCTTGTCAGGAAATTGGTGTAGTCATAAGACCTAAGATAGTTTCTTTTCTGTTCGAGCAGTAAAGGATGCCTCCCTGGTGCACATCATGTGCTAGGAAAGCTTTGCTAGCATTCAGGAGCTCACGGATGAGTAGAATGTGGCTTGTGGCTTTGAGTTGGGACAGGTTGAACACTGCACATTGTCACAACTGCCCCCCCCCCAAAAAAAAACCTTGTATGAGTTTCATGGGTCCTTGTTAGTCCTCAACAACTTCCTGCAAATTACATATAAATAACTAGTGAAATGTTCAATACAAAATACACCAAGTTAATTATTTATTAGTACAGAAAAACATCGCTATACCGAACACCGCTATACTGAACATTCGGCTGTACCGAACATCGCCCTAGGCTCCCAATAGTTTGTGCACACAACCGACATGTACCAAACATTATGTAGTTGCAAATCAACTGAGATTTGCCACAGCATCATCAGAGATCAATCTTGAGTGGTACATGTAGCTTCACGACTTTTAGGATAAACTAAATAGCAATTTTGTAACTCAAGATTTGATAAACAAAAAAAATTAACAGATACATTTATAGAAACCTCAAATGTGAATGCAACGGCAAAACATCACGAAAACAGCGAATTATAGTATCACAAGAGGGTGCACTTCGGTTAGACATCATATGCATATTATGCTCAGGATGCATAAAGTACTGTAACGAAACAGGGTAGG